CAAGTGCTGGGATTAAAGGTGTGTGCCACCACCGCCCGGCTGACCCTCCTGTCTAATGAGTGGAGACTGACTGATCCTTCTCTTCCCAGGGATCCCAGCGGGCAACCTGGAGGGGAACTGATGATTGGCGGCATTGACTCAAAGTACTACGAGGGGGAGCTGTCCTACCTGAATGTCACCCGCAGGGCCTACTGGCAGGTGCACATGGATCAGTGAGTCATGGGTGTGGCTGGGATTGGAAATGTTATGTAGGGGTGGCATGTGGGAAGCTGGGGGCCCTACCAGCCATTTGTGCTACTTTGCCATTTGAGTCTTCTCATTTTGTAACCCTGGACCATTCAGGGTCCTGCGTGAGTTGGTTGGTCCTGACAGTAAAGAAGCCCATGTCTCCAGGGCTGGACTAGACAAGCTGTGCCCCAGACTCACTGTGTCAGGGTGAGGTGACAGATGACTCTTGCCCTATAGGTTGGATGTGGCCAATGGCCTGACACTGTGCAAGGGAGGCTGTGAGGCTATTGTGGACACAGGGACGTCCCTTCTGGTGGGGCCTGTGGACGAGGTGAAGGAACTGCAGAAGGCCATTGGAGCAGTACCTCTTATCCAGGGCGAGGTAAGCCACGAGTCTGTGTGGGCTGGCCCGGCAGGCAGAGGCGGGGTCCAGAAGCCAGACCCTCAGGACACGTTGTCTTTGTGTCTCTCAGTACATGATTCCTTGTGAGAAGGTATCCAGCCTGCCCTCTGTCACCCTGAAGCTAGGAGGCAAAAACTATGAACTGTCCCCAAACAAGTACATACTCAAGGTGAGTGGGTGCGGGTGGCAGTGTGAATCTGGGATACCTTGGGTGAGGTGAGAGCCACGTGATGATGTGACCATTCTGGCCTTGCAGGTGTCGCAGGGTGGAAAGACGATCTGCCTGAGTGGCTTCATGGGCATGGACATCCCCCCTCCCAGTGGGCCTCTCTGGATCCTAGGCGATGTCTTCATTGGCACCTACTACACTGTGTTTGACAGAGACAACAATAGGGTGGGCTTTGCCAAGGCTGCCACACTCTAGCTTGCCCCTTGCCCACCGGCAGGGAAACGGATCAGAGTCCAGTAGAGGAAGCCAGCCAGCCCCACCTTTCTACCTGCCCCGCTCACACACACACTCACACTCGCCTGGCATTGCCGGGCCCTTGGGAGGCCTGGCTGGCACTGGTCCAGCTGTTCTGTTCTGTGGTTCTGTCCCTGGGTTCAGAATGCTATCCTCTGCCTGTCTGAAGAAGGCCAAGGCCCACCCAGTATACAGGCTGCCTTGAAAGGCCCCTACTGGTTTGGTAGCTTGCCTTGTCCTGCTTCCGTTTTCTGTGGACGGGCGGGCGGCATTCCAAAGTAGGCAAACGGGTCTTAGGATCCCTCCTAGAAACCTTACCTGACCCAGGTCCCTCACCCAGCCTGGGGATGACCAGGCTCCACTGCCCCACTGTCTGAATCCTGGCCTGACAGAGGCCTGAAGACCAGCAGGAAGGAGCAAGAGGACAGAAGCAAAAGCTATGAACCTGGGGTGTTACCTGGGGCCTGACCTCACCCACCCTGGAAAGCATGCCTTAGCCTGGGGCAGAGGAAGGATGGCTGACTGGTTTTGGCTGGCCTCTGCTGTGTTCGTTTTGGGCTAAGCAGCTGGGAGCCAAAGTTGGTATACAAATACAGTTGTTTTGGGCCTCTTTCTCTGTGTTGGTGTGCTCTGTACGCTTCCAAAATGGGGCCTGAGACTGGAGACACAGTGCTTCTGAGGGCTCATTCAGGGTCAAGCTGGCCTGGGGTGGGGTGGGGCTAGAGCCTAGGTTTGGCTTTCAGGGCTAGGCCAGCCCACAGAGGGGACTCCCAAGGCTCTGGCTTGCTGTTCAGCCTTGTGGGCAAGATGAGTCTGGCCTAGAACTGGCAGGTTCTGGGACCTCAGGCAGTAGTCAGCGGCCGGATGTGGCCTTGGCTGGAGACTGGGACAGGCCTAAAATTCTGGGGCAGGGCCTGTGTTGAATCATTTTCAGAGGTGGCCAGGCCAACACCTGCTATACTTTGCCAGGAAACCAGCCTGTCCCCAGAGAAAACGGAATGAGCCCCATAAGGGTATCTAGGGCTCCATACATTCCCATCTCAACAGTCAGTCCTTCAACTGTTTTCTGGGTCTGTGGGCAGCCTTCCTCCTGCCTGGGCTTCTGCCAGAAGCAGCCTTCTCCTTTTTTAATCAAGCCAGTGCTGAAGCCTGCCTGCCTGGGGTCTTTGGGTTCATCAGAAACCCCTGGTCATGGGCTGCAGTCACCGTGCAAGCATTAGTGTGAAGGTTGGGTCTCGGGAGAAAAGGGGTGAGCCCAGCTACCGAGAGTAGGAATTCGTGAGTCCTTACTGGTAGGGCGGGGATTCGCTTTGGAATCAGTAACCCTGTCGTCTTGGAGTCCCTTCCCCACACCAGAAGATGCAGGATATAGGAAAGTGTGACCTTTGTCACCCTTTGGGGTTGTCCTGGCATCCTTCTCCTGCTGGACATTGGCTGTAATTGTCTCAGTGGGAGGCGTGTGGGGGACTATGGTACTGAGCAGTATCAAGGATTGCTGGAAGGCTAGTAAACATGTGCCCAGTGTTCTCTGAAATCCGAGGAGTCCCGCAGGGCTTGGCAGGACTTCTAGAGACTAGAGTTATCAAAGGCTTGTGCACCAAAGCTGAAGATGTAGCTCCTCCCTCCCTTGCGGGCCTGAGGCTGAGGTGCACTGCCAGGCCTTGCTGCTGCTGCAGCCACCACTACCACCCAGGCTTGCCCTGAGGATGCCCCGGAATCTAGCTCAGGGTTCCAATCTGGTTTCTTCTAGCTGAGGATACCCTCACATCGGCCTGCAGTCCCTGGGAAGAAGCAGCACCCATGCTGCCTGTAAAACCCTGCATCCTAGCTTTCTGATGGTGGGTGTTTCTTCCCTTAAACCCCTGATCTGGTGGACAGTCAGGCATGACCATACCTGAGGCTAGCCCTTTCCTCACCAGTGGAGAGTTGGGACACTGACTCTAGAGCCCTGAAGCTGACTTTTGGGAAGAAGGCCTCCCGATTCAGCGCTTACCTTGTCAATGACCTTGCGCAGACCTGAGGGCCAAAGGACCCCTCTGCTTCCTGAAGTCTGAGTCCCACAGGCCAGATATGCCAAGGGCAACAGCTGACCCAGGTTGTGTGGCAAGGAGAAAGTCAAGGGTGCAAATGGGTGGAAATTAGTGGTATGGTACACAGCTGGGGAGGACCTTCCTCAATTCAGACCTCAGCCAGTCTGGTTGCCAGGCTTTCCGGATCCAAAGGAGTGATGAAGTTGGGTGAGGGAGAACTGGCTTTCTGGCAAGGCCCATTTGCCCCCAGGCTCATTGGACCAACAAGGCTAAGGCTCCATTAGGGAGTGTCCAGAAGAAAGCCAAGAAAAGGTAGGAGGGGTCCCTGACTGCTTGGAAATTAATTCCACCCGCTAAAGGAGGATTTTTCTTCTTTTTGTAATCTACACTTAAGATCCACTTCGAACTGAAAATTCCTGATGTGCAGAACTGAGCTGTGCCAGGGGTCAGCAGGGGTCGGAGGTGGGGTTTGAGCTGGAAAGGGAGGATCTTGGCATGGGGCAGGGCTTATCCAGGAGACAGGACTTTGGAGGACTCAGGGTTCAGAGAGTCCGGGTTCCAGGAGACCAGAAAGACTAAGGGCTTAGGCAGCCCTGGACCACTTTAGAGAGGGTCCCAGAGAAGAGCGCGCTCTCTCTCTCTCTCTCTCTCTCTCTCTCTCTCTCTCTCTCTCTCTCTCTCTCTCTGTGTGTGTGTGTGTGTGTGTGTGTGTGTGTGTCGGAATTCAAAGAAGGTGGAAAACAAGGCTCTTGTGCACAGATTGGGTAACTTGAAAGTAGGGTGAAGAGGACCTACTGAGAACACCCCACACACATGGTGAGGTAGGGGTTGTGAGGGATGGAGGACTGGACTGTTGAGGGTCTTCCATGGTAAAGAGATCCCATTGGGACTTATCTAGATCTGGATATTCAGTTTGGGACAAGTGTTCAAGTGATTGAGAATTAGGGGAGAGAGATGGAACTAAGCCATGGAGGACAATATTGCCTAGGGCAAGTAATGTGTAGGGTCAATACTGTCAGGGGACTGGGGCCCAGGATGGGGGATAGAAGGGCTTATAGGCTGAGCTCCAAGGAGACCGGTGTAGGGGGTCTCAGAAGGACCAGGGTTCAGGGCATTGGAGTAGCACACCTGGCCCTGAGGGCAGAGGGGAGCTTGGCTGTGCAGGGACAGGCCAGCCTGTTACAGGTCAGATTCTTCAAGCCAGATTTATGATGAACAGGATTAGCACGAATGAACCAGGCTTTGGTGAGGTCAGACTTGGGAGATGGGAACTCTAATCCAACAGGGCTTGGCTGGTGGATGGGGATTGAAGATTTTTGGTGAAGGGCCTGGACTTGGGGGCTCAGGAGGAAAAACTCTGGACATTGACCTTGGGGACTTGAGAGACAGGATTGAACAAAGATGAATACTTAGTTGGGATTTGGTGTGTTGCATCCCGTTTGGGTAGGAACTGTGATCTGCAGTCTGGAGGCTTCAAGGGACCCAGAGACTCCAAAAGGAAGCCTGATTAGGGATGGGGGCTGGGTCAGCTCAGACAGGGACTTAGTAGTAAGGAAGGAGCCTGGCTGGGCAGGATCAAGGTAGAGGTGGGTGGGAGCTTGGGAAGCAGGTATCAGGACAGGCCCCATGAAAAAAGGGCAAGGACTACCATGGGGACCGAGGGTGGCAGATGGGACTCAACATGGCAAGAGGAAGAGGTTCAAGGTAAAGGGTTCTGAAGGCACAGGTCTTGGAACGAGCAAGGCTCAGTGTGGGAAATATAGGGAGAAGGGATCAGCCCTGGGAACAAGGTGGAGTGCTCAGCAGACAGGCTTGCGCGGGACCTGAGGACCCGCGAGAGAATGTGAGGACAGGTGGGTTGGAGTGGCGGCTCCATGGTCAGCGGATATGGGAGTCATGCAGCTCTTGGTTTACATGGGTCCCAGCTTCGCCCAGCTAGCGACTCCCTGGGGTCCTGGCTGCCGTGCTCGCGGGTCCTCTCCCTCCCTTTGGAGGAGGGGGAGGTGTCTGCGACGCTGTGAGTCAGGCTCTGGCTGCAGCCGTGGCCGGCCTGGCGCTGCGGAGCGCGCACGGGCAGCGGGGGAGGCAGCGGCGCCAGCCCCGTTCGCTCCCCGCCCCCAAGGTTGGGCCGCCGGGAAGCGATCAGCGGACAGACAACGGTCCGGGACGGCGGAAGGACGAGCGCTCCGAGGCGTCTGGCCCACTCACCGCCGCGTCGCCAATAGGTGAGCGGTCCTGGTGGCTGCTGCAGCCGGGGTCAGACCAGGGGCCACCCAGCCCGGCCGTTGTCCCCTGATAATCTCATCACCGGTTCCAGGTGCGCCCTGTGGCGCAGGTCTCCGGCGCCAAGCTGTCTCTTGGAAGTGTCCATTTCACTGAGTGTCATTGTGGGTCTGTTGGTGGCACGGGGGCAGGGGGGAAGTGAGTGGTTCTTTGTGACCGTGTGCGCTCTTAGGGTACCCGGTGCCACTTTCTGCCGGGCTTGGGGGGCAATGTGAGCGAGTTTGGAGCCCCGCACCTGCGCGTATCCTCCGGAGATGTGTCTGAGCCTGTGGGGCGGTGCGTGTAGTGCTGTGCTTCTTGGTGGGCAGTTGTTTACCTGGCACGTCTGGGCGCGCGGGTGTGCTGGGACTGGAGAGCCGATAATGTTTGCGGTTCATCTTGGCGTGTATGTGCTTCAGTGAGAGCTGTTCATTCTGCCAGTCGGTGACTAGAGCAGTGTCACTGTAGGTCTGAATGCGTGGGGATGCAGGGGCGCTCTGCTTATTCGCAACAGGGTGTCAGTCAGGGTGCTGAGGGGGTGCTGTTGTATGTGTCAGTGGGTGCAGATGGCAAAGCGATGAAAAGCCCCGATATGCTTGCCAAGTCTACTGCGAATGGCTTTGGTATTGGCCGTGGCCGGCTGGGTGGGGGAGGCAGGTGGCAGGCAGGCTGGCAGCTGGCAAGCTCGCAAGGATTTCCATCTCCTGAAGGCCATTTATAGGGCTGCAGGGGAGATGCTGTAAGGCTCCAGGGTGGGTGCTACTGGGCTCTCAGGACCCAGTTCCTCTTCACTCTGTCCCTTCCTCCAGGCCCAGGGCCCCAGCCAGTGCCCAGCCCTGCTGGGAGCCCCGGCCAGCACCACGGACGGCACCCAGGAAGCCCGAGTCCCCCTGGACGGGGCCTTCTGGATTCCCAGGCCACCAGCAGGTTCACCCAAGGGCTGCTTCACCTGCGTGTCCAAGCCTCCTGCCCTGCAGGCTGCAGCGGGCCCAGCCCCTGAGCCCTCAGCCTCGCCCCCCATGGCACCCACTCTGTTCCCCATGGAATCTAAAAGCAGCAAGACTGACAGCGTCCGGGCATCAGGTGTCCCCCAGGCCTGCAAGCACTTAGCTGAGAAGAAGACCATGACGAACCCTACGACAGTCATCGAGGTCTACCCCGACACCACGGAGGTGAACGACTACTATCTGTGGTCCATCTTCAACTTCGTCTACCTCAACTTCTGCTGCCTGGGCTTCATTGCTCTGGCCTACTCCCTCAAAGTGAGCCTGGGTGGGGGAGGGAGCAGGGTTAACCGGGCTAGCAGGATGCAATGTCACTTAGTGAAGCCCAGGGCAGAGCATGCAAGCACAGCCGGGAGATCTGTTATGAGTTCAGAGAGGTAAGGCTGTTTGTTGGCCAGGTCTGGACAGCAAAGAGCCACTTCCCTTTCTGAGGGAAACTTGATCCAGCTTGGGGAGTGGGGTAGGGCTGTCGGCTCTGTATAGGTAGCTTAGGTAAATTATTGGGAGCAGGCCTTCAGAGCTTGAGGTCCTGTCCTCTGGTCAGGAGACATGGGAGTCAACATAGCCAGTAGTCAGTCACACCTAGGTAAATGGGATGCAGACTGCATGGAGCCAAGGGACTTGAAATCCCGTGGCTGTGGAAAGCAGAGGGGTGGTCTCAGGGCCCTTGCAGACCCTCTGATGTCAGTCCCTCCCCAGGGGGATCTGTGGCCAGGATTTGTGGTGGAAGACTAAAACCTGACCTGGGGGGGAAAGTTGGGAAACTCATCCTATCCCCACCCACTCTGTAGCCACAGTGGCTACAACTTCCAGGACCAACTCCCTTTTGCACTGGGAGTCGGTGGCTGGGAAGGGAACAGCGTGGCAAGCCTGTGGGACCCTTCAGCCACTCCTACTCCCTACCCCTTCCCATGGCAAAGTGGGGCTGGGAGAGGCTGTGATAAATGTGTCCCAGGCAAGGACTGAGCATCCTTGGACTGTGGGAGCCCCACCAGCAGGGTACGGGGATGGTGCCGGGGTGCCCTCCTCCCATCCTGTGTCTCCGGAAAGAAGGGCTTGGCTCACAATTACACAGATCATCACTTCCTGAGCCCAGACTTGAATGGCTCAAGCCAAATGCAGCCCAGAGATTGCAGCTGCCCAGCAAGGAGGGGTGCCAGGGGCTGGCAGAGTAGCAGGGTGCTGCAGGGAGTAAAAAGTGAAGGCAAGACTGACCCAAGAGGAAGGATACCCAGGCAGCTCAACCCACAATTCATCTGCATACATGAACCCCGCCTTGCCTAGCATCACATGCCTGGCCACCAGGTTCTCCCCTCCTCTGCCTGACTCATACCCAGCATATCACATTATCTTCATGCCTTCATCTCCAGGCCTGGGTTTCTCACCTCGACTGGTACCACATGGGAGTTGTGTACATAAGTGGGCATGTCTGTGAGAACATGTGATAGCATGTGTGTGCACATGTACTCACATGCGTGTAAGTTACCATGTGTGTGGAGAGCATGGGTGGGTGCATTTGAGTGTGTTGCATGCATGAATGGCTATGTTTATATGGATGTGAGTGTGTACACTTGAGAATAAGTCTGAGCATTATTGTATGCATGTAATAATATGCATGCACATATGCATGTGTGTGAGCAAATGTAACTGTGTGTAAGTGTACATGAACATATATAGAAATGTATGTCCAATTGCATGTGAGCAGTGCCAACATAATCACATGCCTACATCCATTTAGGTATATCATGAGTGGACATATGTTTGAGTAAAATATGCATGCATGCAAATATTTGTAAGTCAATATGTGTTTGCATATAAGTACACCACAACTGTGTGTGTGCGTGTGCATGTGCGTGTACATGCTTGTGCTGAGAGGCAAGATGAGAAGGGAACCTTGGGACTTGGGATGTCCTAAGGCCAGCTCAGCTCTGTTCCCTGGGGCAGTGCCAGGCAGAGAGCACCATTGCCAGGCTGTTAGTGGAACACAGACTTCTCTGGTGCTCTCTGTCCCTACACTGTCTACAGCCTGAGGATTTGGGCATGGCTGCCCAGGCTCTGGTCCGGGAGCTGTCCCCTCCTCCCCTGGCTCAGGCTGTGTCCGGCTGGCTGGGCAGGTAGCCCATCTGGTGTGGGTTGTAGGTAGGTCAGGCATTTCTGGATGGTTATGGGTTTGTATTGGGATGTGAGGTGGACACTTTGGAGAAGAGAAAAGGCTTACTCTCTCTCCCTTGCTTTGCTCCCTGAGGTCTTCGAGGGAACAGTGGACAGGCCTTGGATCTTTTTGGAGGGATGTTCAGGGTCAGCATAGGCCAGGCTAATTCTGACTGGATGCCTGAAAATCAGTTCACCTGTGTATGTAGCTTCAGCCTCCTGACCAGCTGCATCTGCCACTCATGCAGCCCAATGCAAGCATGTCCAAGGACAGCAGGTGGACCAGGGGTCAGGAGGACTTGGCAGGTTTTCTGGCTGTCTTTGCTTGCCGAGCCCTTCTTCTCATCTGCTCACAACACTGTTCAAGTGGTCACGTGATCAGGCGGGGCTGGCAGGCTGGTGTGAGATGATGGCATTCTTGCCTGCCCTGAATGTCCATCTCCCATCAGGCCCCCATCCATTCCTCCCAACCACACGGGTCAGGTCAGAGCCATGCAGCCTGCTCTCTGTCTCGGGAAGATTCAGTAAAGCCACTCTCCACACACTGTCTCATAACCACACAGCCCCACTGTTAGCTGGACGGTGCCCAGCATCCAGTTTTGGTGTCCAAGTCCCCTCATGGTTCCTCATCACCCTCTTTCTGGGGAAATACTGAGTTTTGTGCACACATTGGTGCACAGATATCCTCTTTTTTGTAAGAAGCCTGTGTTTCTCCTGCAGAGCTTCTATGGCCTTCTTTTCCTGGTTACATCTGCTTGTCCAATCCTCAGGACCACCCTTCAGTGTCCAAAGCATGGTGACCATCATGGGGGAGGCCTAAGGATATTATTTGTCTGGATAGAAGATGCCACCAGAGGGGATATATAGCCTACTTGTCTTGGAAAAGGGAAACATCAGACTGAGCTTGGGGCCAAGTAGGGGTCAGAGTAAGGGCTTCTGGGAGGAGGCAGGATTTTCTATGGCCATTAAGGGGTGGGTGAGAGGAAAGTTTTACCTGAAGAAAGGAACAGACACTAAGCGGGGGTATCCTCTGTGGGGAGCAGAAGTGTGAAGGACGGGAGCGGGAGTACAGTGCAGCCAGCATGTGGCAGATGTTTGATCTGAGCTCCAGAGGCTTGGGGACTTCCTGTGACAGGAAAGCCTGAAATGCTAGGTTAGGAGGGTAGATTCTGGTTGGGTTTTGTACGTATGTATCTGTCCATCTCGCCCTTCTGAGTATCAATGTTATCAGCCCATTCATTCACCTACCCATCCCACCTACCCACCTACCTACCTATCTACCCACCCACACCTAATCATTTATCCACTCATCTTCTTATCCATCCATCTATTCATGCACCCATCCATCCACTAAATCAGCCGGCCATCCTCCCACTTATCCATTCTAGATACCTACCTATCCACCTATCCACGCCACACCTGTCCACTTATACATTCACCTGCCTGTGTACCATCCGTCTGTCCACACGCATTCACATCTAGTTATTCATTCTCCTGTTCCCAACCATCTGCTCAGGCACTCACCCATCCACCTACCACCCAGCCAGCACTCACCTGTCCATTCGCCCATTCAACCCATCCACTCACCTACCCCGCCATTCATCTGCCTACCCTTCTACCCATCCACACATTTGTCCACCCAACCACTTGTCAACCCATCCACTGACCCACCCACCATCCATCTATCCACACTACACCCCTCGTCCTACACATCATCTCCGCATCTACCCACCTATCCACCCTACTGTTCTCCCTCTCACTGCTCCATACGTTCACAACCCACCCCTCCACCTTTCCATCTCTTGGCCATCTGCCCATCCATGTATGCGGTCACCTCTGTTAGTCAGTAGAGGACATTTCAGGCAACAGCAGGTCACATGCACAAGACTTCCTCTCCTGCTAGTGTCATCGCTGATTTGCACATAAACTCGGTGATGTCAGCAGACGATGAGGCCATCTGGAGTTTCTCAGATACCCCTCATTAAGTGACACATGGCTATGCCAATCCCTTCTCCACTCTGTTCACGACATCCAGACAGCATCGGCTTCCCACCCACCTGTTGGCACAATCATCTGTCCTTCTGACTGCCCTCCAATGTCGCACTCCATCCCTACCAACCTGAGCACGGATTCGCTAAACTTTCTCTGGTGTCATTTTCCCGTAGCACTCACCAGCCCGACCTCCCATCTGCACGTGCGTTGCACATCCTCCTGCCCGTCCATCCCTCCACTCCAAGTAGCCATGTGTGTGTGTGTTTCTCACTCACCTTCCTCATTTGCATTCTTCCCTGCTCAGTTTATACATCCTTCTATCATTTTTCTTCTATTTTCTACCCGTGTATCCATGTATCCATTCGTTTTCTCTTCTCTTCTGTAGTCCCCCTTCAACTTCACAGGCTGAACTCCCCCACCCACCCAACTACTCACCCACCAACCCATCCTCCCATTCGTTCTCTTCTCATTCCAACTTTCATAACCTCCGTTCCCCCCCCGCCCCCGTGTAGAATTTCACCCTGGCACCCATCTATCAACATCCAAATCTCTCAGCCTCAAGCATCTGTCCTGTCTCCAGCTTTATGTTCTCCCACACATTTACTATCCTATTTCTTCTTCACTCTCTCCTACCCCCAATCTCTTCCCTATCTGTCTGTCCTGTCCAATAGCTTATTGATCCACATGTAGCTGGTGGACACACGTGTGCACTGATTCCTATGTGACTGTGAACACACATGCACACCGATCCATATGTGGGTGTGAACACACATGCACACCGATCCATATGTGGGTGTGGACACACGTGTGCACTGCTCCATATGTGACTGTGAACTCACGTGTGCACTGATCCATATGTGACTGTGAACTCACGTGTGCACTGATCCATATGTGGCTGTGAACTCACGTGTGCACTGATCCATACGTGGCTGTGGACACACATGCACACTCTCACTTGCCTAGCTGCACACTCATATTTCAGCCATGTGCACATTTGCCCCGCCCCCGTACTCCTTTATTGTTCTGCCTTCTCTTAGTTTTAGACACTGACACACCCTAGATGTGTCAGATACGGTGATGCACACCTGAAATCCTAACATTTGGGAGTCAGAGGC